TATTTCAACAAAGTAACTGTATTCTAAATACCACCTTTTTAAACGGTAACTGTAACGGAATACAGTTACTCATATTTTGTATTTTAAATACGTAACGGCGATACATGTATTCCGTTACTCCCCAACACTGCTAATGAGGCATTCGACCAGTTGAACAATACCTAACAAAATGGCTAGCAAGTGTATAATCATCTCTTTTTTTGCCTTAAACCAGCTGGAATTAATACACATCTCTGCTCTGTTTCTGTGTCAAACTAGTCCCTTTGCTCAGGCTCAAGGCAGGCTGGGTGAGTCAGTGTTTCAGTAATGGATGAGAGGGAGCCAAGACATGAAGTTTAATTACTGTGGCTTAATAGCGCAAACATGCAGAAAGGCTGGACTCCAGAGGAGAGAAGGACAGAGTGTTGGAGGGTAGGGGGTTATGGCTTAATCTAGCGAGAAGAGGAATAAGATGGAGATATCGTATGAAAGGTGAAGAAGACGGGTTGGGGAAAAGACAGAATTAATAAGTGGCTCGAGTAAGATAAAAATAAGAAATCTTGAAAGCACCCACAAAAATGTAAAAAAATAACACACCAAATATAATTTCTCTTCCTACCTTGGTGGTCCACTGAAGGTTTGGAGGCACGGAGGATCTTAGGAATGGAGAAGCCCATGTCTAGCTCTGTCAGAGTCAGCTCATTCATAACATATGGCAGCTAAAAGACAACATGTACGAAAAAAGATACAAATACAGCCAACGCAAAGACAAATCTCTATCTCTAGATGAAATCTTCTTGCATTTGGATATTAATAACTATAGCTACTGCTACTACTGCTACTACTCACCCTGATCTTACTGAGCTTCATTTGGATCTTTTTGGAGACTACATTGGCCCAATATTTCTCTCCCAGGAAGTCCCAGAATATCCTTCCCAGAAATGCATTTACCCAGGCCTCAGGCTCCGCAGTCTCCTCTGAACTCCTACGCAGCTAAAGGACACACATACATGTATGAATGGCAGTTTTGAATATCTATAATCATTTTGTGCATCAAGCTTGAGCTTGATATATTGAGTTTGCTCCCAGCAACCCTTCAGTGAGATTCACTGAGTTGCCAGTGGTTCTCTCTGGGGTAACTTCAGGTGACAACAGACTGATTTAGTTGATATTGTGGTTTAGACGTGCAGACCCCAGGGGGGGCTTTTGATAGATGCCCACTTTGGATGACTCTCTTTTTCTATTCAGCCTGACATGCATCCATCTGTCTCCTACCTTTTTGGTAGTCTGGGGGCTGCTATCCGGGCTGTTCCCAGCGCTGTCAGTGGCAGTCGGGCTTCTAGGCGGCACCTGGGGACTCACGTATTTGGCCATGTAGACATTATAGTCCAACAGCATCTTTTGCTTCAAGCCTGCAGTAGAGCCACAGGAGAGAGCGGCGGTGGTCTCTTTGTGACGAGACTGAGACTGAGACAGCTCCTCCAGGCTTCCCCGGCTGCTGCTCCTGCTGTCAGCCTCCAGGCCTCCGACAGATTGAATGCTGCTACTGCGACTGTGGGAGGGTAAGAAGGCTACAAATGGAAGGAAAGGAAATGTGGGATGTGAAGGCGGTGTTTTGACACAATTACGCTTGAACACGGAACATTTTTAGTGATTCCAGATTTGTATACAATAATAATAAATGCTCAAAATTTAATTAGCCTTAGATAGCTGTCAGCTATTTTTGTATTCCTTTCTCACAGTAGACTGCAGCACTCTGAATTAGCATGCTGTACACTGCTTTCCAGTAATCCAGCCCTACCTTTACTACCTTTATCTCCTGACCCACACAATTTTGGCATTTCTCTTTGTATAAGGCCTCCTCCGCACAGGCTTACATCCCACTGTGGAAAGTGATGCTATAATACGCTGATGCTCTGTGCTTGTAATCCTGCTGACCCACCACACTCATCGGTTCACTTAGTTGAGGGGATTGGCAGTCCCTAAGCTGGGGCTTATGCACAGATCTGATTGCTGCGCAGTTGCCTACTTAATAGAACGGCTATTCTGACATCGAGGAATGGCGCGTGTCTGTGCAAATACAGGTGTGTAAAAAAAAGAAAGAAAGAAAGAACATGGATAACAAATGCTTTACGTGTGTGTGTGTGTGTTTGCACCTTGATCTGGGAGAGTGTGCATAGCTGAGTCTGAAGCTCACCATTCTTGCAGATGCTAGGCAGACTGCCACCTCTCCCCTCTGATTTCATTCGGGATGCTAGAAGAAATCTACGGAACCACTCTTCCTTTTCCCGACCCGTCCTCCCGAAAAGGTAGATAGTCAGATCCCCGCCTCCAAAGGTTGGTTTTTTGGGTTCCTCTGCTGACGCTGATCCTTCTGCCTTCTCACCCTTGTCCGTTTTCTCCACCTTCTCACTCTGAACTGTCAATTTTTCTTCCCCAGCTTCAGGCCTCTCTCCCTGGGCCTTGGACATGAAGTCATCCTGCTTGGCCAGCTCAATGCAAATGGGGTATTTTTTGTTCCAAACTCTCTTCCTAGCCAGGCTCTGAGGCATCAGGTATATCTGTGGGGTATAAAGACTGACTTCACTAAATCAATCTCATGAACACAACTGATTTCTTTATTTCTTTATGGGTGTTTCTAGGGCAACAGAATGATTATAAAGAAAAAAGGATAAAGAGAAAAAGTGTTCACATTTTTATGCGGCAGATTGATACCTGAGGGTATGAGTGGAAACAACTGGTGGCAATAAATGTAAGAATATGCCTGTTTTCTGTTGATAAGTAACCAAGATTTGGCACCATTCAGGGCTGGAAAGGTTCATGTACTTCTGCTTTTGTTCTTGCTATGGGCCAACAATTCTCTAATACAGACAGCAGCACTTCATTCATCCCTGTGGTCGTAATGGGCTGGAGCGGTATTGGATCTCAGATTACTCAAAACAATAACACCATGAGCAGAAATTAGACCTTCAGGGATGGTTTTCCTGTACAAGTGTCTGAATAAACTACACACTAAGTATCTACAATAATAACTGAGAAAGGGCACTTAAGGAAACCAGAGAAGAAGAGTAGGTTAAGGGTGCATGATGAAACCTTTTGCCCTGTGATACACTGACATGAGAAATGTCAGCTGTGCCTTGAGATATGCAAAACTGTTGAATCAGCGCGCTAGTACACAAGATACACAACTGTGTATATAAGGTCAGTGACCTGTGATATTCACTCTGCATTTACACACAGTGTACGAGTCACAAGCTGTGATTGTCACTGAGCATGACCTATTAGCGAGCATGCAGTCGGGCAAAGGCAAATGTGACGGGACGTGTGCTCGATGTCACTAAATGTTAAGCTTATCATCAAGCACAGTAATACACTGAGGAGACGCACACACACTTAACACATTAATTTCCCCCTCGTCTTTGAGTGGTGTTAGCAAAAACCTCTCTTTCCATGACCAAAAGGCTTGTTTAAGCCACCGCACCTTGCTGTCAGTCAGGTCGTAGATCTTCTGGCTGATGTAAGTGACGTCAGGTTTAGGCTCATTGTGTGTGGCACGGCGGGAGATGTTCCGGTTGGGCTTGGACAGACGCAGGACGGAGCCCTCTAGACGGACGTAAACAGAGTGGGTCAGGGTGGCGTGGTACGTCTCCGGGTCATAGCTGTGGATCTCATTCATCCAGCCCTGCGAGAGAGAAGCAGAAGACTTTTCAGCTACAATGAATTAAAACTCGAGTCACCTCTCAAGACTTTTGCACAGTCTTTCATACACACATCAGATTTTCAGTTTAAAACCAGAGAATTAATTTGCTCAAATTAACTAAGTAACCTCCTGAGATAAAAAATGAAACCATCATTAAAGTGCCAAAAAACGCAGTTTATTGAATCTCCACTATGTATCACATACCATTGATTTAAAAAGACATTCTTGCTTAAAATTTATGCAACACAGCAAAAGATAAAGTGGGGCATCTGAGTTTGTGTATTCCCAAAGAAAGACAAGTATGAAGAAAAAGACAAAGCTTGTTGGACCGCTTCCCCACACTTGTGTGCCCGAGGGGCCGTCGTTCATCTGCCTGTATCATGTTCTGCAGAGCTCCTCTTTTTGGAACAGCTGTGGCCTCTAGCCATCAGGCTATCCTGTGCAACAGCTTGGTACCCACTAAGGCACACACACATACACATGCTTGCATAACTCTGTCAAATTACTAAAGATTTTTCTTCTGATTTTCTGAGGTTACTCGAGAATAAGGAGAATAAGGTGCTGTCATTAAAATGTTTCGCTTAAAGAAAAACTGGAGCCATCACTGGAGAAGAAGTGTAACACAACCTCGTGATTCCCCAAGAGGCTGCACAGATGGAATTCTCATCCAAACTCCTACCTTTTTGTTCCCGAAGGCCACTGTGTTAACAAAGGCAATTCAACTGAAATAACAGAGTAGAAACATATAGTCTTCTTCAGAGTAAGGACAAACTGAACATAGGCGCCACACTTGCGAAAACTAATCACAAGTTTACTTTTGAAGTCACATGTTTTGCCTTTACCTTGAATATTCCTGGTTCCTTAATATCCAGCTGGGCCACATTCCATTGCTCTATCCTTCGCCTCCTTTTACTGCTCGCTGATGAGGAGGGCTGAGGGGATGACAGCCAAAGCACGAGAAAGGCCAATGCGAATCCCGCTATTATCCCGTGCACTACTGAGCATACACAGGGTGGCACAGGAAGCACCAAATACCAATACACCAACTGTGTTAAAATAATGAGACCAGTCACGGGTAAGGTCTCGGCCTCCTCTTCGGCTCCCTCTTCCTCTGGATCGAGCTCACTACACAAACCAGTGCTACCAGTATGGGGTTGCCGGGACCCAGAACGATCACCGTCCGGTGTCTCTGTGTCAGTACATAACTCAAAGTCTTCGCTGTACAGCTCACAGAAGTCCTCGTCTTCCTGTCGAGCTACCAGGGCTGACATTGAACAGCGGCCCAGAGTGAGAGAGGGAGATTTGTGGAGGGCAGAAGATGAGGCCTGGGTGAGGGCTGGCGCGAGTGACGGGAAAGAGAAAAAACCTGACTCTGGGCCCTTAGCTGTGGGGGTTTCTTCCTCGTCTTCTCCTTCTGCCCCTTCCTCCTCTTTGATGCTGTAGTTGTTGCCACCTTCTCCGTGTCCATTTACCGCCGTTACTCCGCTGAGCTCCGACGCGCTGGAGGACAGCGATTTGGCACGATAAGCAGCACTTCCAGCAGACCCCGTACCAGACTCATCCCCCATTATCTTACTAAAAAGCTGCAGAGGGTCTGACATCACTTCCGATAGCCGCCGCTTGGTATCCTCTATCTTGGCCTCCACCTCTTGGACTTTGAAGAAGGACCTACCATCTGGAGACATGATGGGGGAGGAGGGGGCTGTTTTAGAGTCTCCACCTGCTTGAGTGACGATGATGGGACTGGAGGATAAACGGGGTTGGGAGAACTGTTTGAAGAGTTGCATGTTGCGAGGTGGAGGCCGATGGGATGGCTGTATTTGCTGATGCTGAAGAGGCCCTTCCGAATGGTCAGCCTTGGAAGCGTCCGTGGACAGAGACTTAACAAAAGACTTCATTAAGTGTCGATGACGTGCGTGGGTTGGTGCTACGGTGGAAAGTGAAGGGACAGTTTCTCGAGACTCAACCTCATTGGACAAAGACCTAACCAGACTAAGAAAAGGCTTGGAGGATGACAGTGCTGCAGACTTGCATGGTGAAGAGGAGCTGGAGCTTGCGGGCGAGGGATTGACTGGGAGCCGTTCAGACGGCCAGGAGGAGCTGGCAGGAGGATTGGAGGAGAGGGTGGATGTGGGATTAATAGTCAAGGCAGGAGAGTGTGTGTGTGGCTGAGGGTCTGAGGGCTGCACAGATAAGGTGGTAGATAAAACTGGGAGAACAGCAGGTCCCGAGGGGGTGTCTGCACCAGCAGATTCAAACAGCAGTTCCTCTTTTGCTTCCAAGCCTGTAGCAACACATCGGTCATCAGCTGCTGAAGCTGGACCTTGAAGCCCCCCTGTACCATCGAGGACAGACTTGTCTTTAACAGATCCAGCGGGTATCCCAAAGAGCTCCTCTTCCTCATCGTCTTCCTCTTTCCCCAGAGCAGAGAAGTGTATGGTGATGGTGTCACGAGAGTGGGAACGCTGGACCTGCAGCTTGGGTCCAGGGGTGTGACGAGGGGGCGGAGTGGCAGCATGCTGGCCACTTCCCCTGCTGCTGCCGCCCTGACTGCTCATCATCACCCTGCACAGGGCTCACGGCCTGGGGGGAAAAACACAGAGACAGTGGGAACACGTGGTTAATAAAAAAACAATGAAGCAATAGTGCATCAGTGCAGGGGGGAGGGAGGCTGTAGTGTTTGTAGTACAAATTGGCAATTCGATTTAATCAGTGATTTCAAACCAGACGTATAAGTACCCTGAGGGCCACTTCTGCAGTAGCCAGGGGATAGGTGGGAAGATGAGATCAACCAATGGGGGAAAAAATTACATTGCAATTTAATTACAGAATTGAGCAGGCCTGAACAAAATGGTCTGAGCGGAAAACTACTGGAAGTAGTCGATAAGCAGTAGAAAACTGACACCCATAGAGAATGACAGCCAAGTAGATAAAAGTATAGCTTAAACTATTACATTTGTTACCCAACAGCACAAAATACATTAATGGCTAAACACTTCAAGATTTTTACTATGCATCATGAAATTATTGGTTGCTAACTGCCCTCAACTAATAAATGGTAAGCTAAAGAAGTGTCTACCCAGTTAAACTGACTGAACACATTCCTGCACGAGGTGCTGTTGATGAAAGAGTTCTTGAGTTCATGTGACAACTGCAGAGACCCCCACGAGCTCTAAATGCACTCCTTGTACACACAGTACTTGAGACAGAAAAGAACAGCCTTGCAGCTTTCTGTTCACCCTAATGTGAGTGGACTGGACAGGTATGTCTATGTTCCCCAACCCATTAGCTCTCATTATGTAAGGTTGTAGCCGGAAGACCGAGTTGCTCTCAGGCCAAGCCTCTCTCTCTCTCCCGCTCTGTCTTACAAGCACCCAGTCACTCATCCCACTATGGCAACATGATTAATGGGGTACTTCAGAGCTCACAAGTCTCAAGAAGAAGGGCCGTCAACATTTCAGCTGTGTTTAACTCCACCCTCCAAAGGGGGAAGAATGCATCGGGTTAAATACTGAAAAGAGGTGAAAATGAGAACGGATCAAAAGAAGGAGCACTCCAAGAGCTCAAACCTCCCCCATGCCAGCTCACTCTCTGGGCGGTTTTTCATGAGATTTCTTTTTAAACATTGAAGTTTGCAGTACAATAAAAATAAAGCATTACAGGTAAGCAAAGTTCAAACATGACATGATATTTGGATGCAAACTAAAACGTGATGTTTAGAATCCAGATATACCAGTATGACTTCCTGAATGTTGCCAATACAAACAAAGGCAGCAGCATTTTAAGACCAGTTTTAAAGATAAGAGATTTTATAAAGGGTTGACCTTATTTGACCTTAAAAAAGACAAACATTCACATGACAAGAAAAAAAAAAACAAAAAACACTTTCCCTCAC